GATCTCGGGGGCTGCCCGGGAGCGGGGGCGGGTGGCGGTAGGGGTCGGTGTTACCGGCGCTGCGGGTGGGTGATGCGGTGTGTGCGCTTCTGTCTCCCAGATCGCTCTTACATGAGATTAACGGAAAAGGAAGATGAGACGTTGCCCATAGATGTAAGTCTGAAGATTTCACCCTGTGTGGAAGGTGTGATGCGGGGGGTGGGGGGGGTTCAGCCTCTCGCGGTTTCCCAGTTGCTTTTTTTTTTTTTTTTTAATGCAAGACTAAAGGTCTAAAGTAGTTTTTAAATTGCACTTTCATTCGAGCTCCCTCTGTCAAAAAAAGAACCTCCTTTCCTCATCCCGGCTTCCTGTGGCGCGCTACTCTGTCGGAGAGAACAGCCCCCCGGCTCCAGGCCTCCCGCTCCCCCTTCAGAACTGCCCTGAAGCCTCTGGCCTCTCCCCCAAGGATCCCCTGAGCGCGGCTGGGAGAGCTCCTGCCTTCCTGTCCTTCCCAGCATAAACAGCCTCCTCCCTCTGCCTTTTGTCAGCTGACATTTGTTTATCCCCAAGGGCTGTGCGCCCCTTTCATCCCACCACAACCTGGCTGGGCCTTGGTTTTTTTGTTTTGTTTTTTATTTGCTTACTTTTTAACTCCACTTCCATTGTTATCTGTTCTGTTTTTGCTTAATCAGGAAGGTAAGGAGGTGAAACACCCAGGAGAAAGGCAGGCTTGGGCAGCCAGCTCCTTCCTGGGGGAGAGCGTTGGAGCCCCCGGTGCAGGGGAACATGGTGCTCTGTTCTGAGGATCTTGCTGAGCACAAATCAGTGCCATTCGGGCAGCTCAGGCTCTTCTCAGCTTCTTCTTCACTGTTTAACCCCCCCTTTGCCTCAGCTTCCCTGCTGTTGCATTGCCCACCTCTGTAAAGCACACACCTACAGAGCATGAAAAGCCCAGGAGATGCTGAAAGTGAGATTTTTTGATAAATATTAAGAATATTAAATAATATGTGTGCTGCGCTGTGCTTCCCTCGACTACAGATAGTTCTCCAGACTCTCTTAGCCTTTGCTGTCACCTGCTACGGGATAGTACACATCGCAGGAGAATTCAAAGACATGGACGCGACTTCAGAACTAAAAAATAAGTACGTTTTATTTCTTCCTTTCCTAATATCTGCTGTTCTCTGTGCAAACTGAACACTGTGAAATGGCTCACTCGCTGCTTCTTCAATGCACGTTGTAGGTAACGGGGAGGAATAACCCCCTGCACCAGGGACAGGTTGGGGCTGACCTGCTGGAGAGCAGCTCTGAGGAGAAAGACCTGGCAGTCCTGGTGGACAACAGGATGCCCAGGAGCCAGCAATGGGCCCTGGTGGCCAAGAAGGCCAGTGGCATCCTGGGGGGCATCAGGAAGAGTGTGAGCAGCAGGTGGATGGAGGTCATCCTGCCCCTCTGCTCTGCCCTGGGGAGGCCCCATCTGGAGCAGTGGGTCCAGTTCTGGGCTCCCCAGTTCCAGAAGGACAGGGAACTGCTGGAGAGGGGACAGCAGAGGCTACAAAGATGATGAGGGGCCTGAAGCATCTCTCTGATGAGGAAAGGCTGAGGGACTTGGGGCTGTTTAGTCTGGAGAAGAGAAGGCTGAGGGGGGATCTGACCAATGCCTATAAATACTTAAAGGGTGGGTGTCAGGAGGATGGGGCCAGTCTTCTTCCAGCGGTGCCCAGGGACAGGACAAGAGGGAACAGGCACAAACTTGAACATAAGAAGTTCCATCTCAACACGAGGAGGAACTTCTTTGCTGTGAGGGGGGCAGAGCCCTGGCAGAGGCTGCCCAGGGAGGGGGTGGAGTCTCCTTCTCTGGAGACATTCAAACCCACCTGGACACATTCCTGTGCATCCTGCTGTGGGTGGACCTGCTCTGGGAGGGGGTTGGACTGGATGATCTCCAGAGGTCCCTTCCAACCCCATAACATTCTGTGATTCTGTAATAACACTTGAGAGGAACAGTCACACCTGGGAAAGCCAACAAGGTCTTGAATTTCAGAGAGAGTTAGATAATGGGAACAAATGAAATAAACTTCTTGGCTTTTTCCTTGTCCCAAACCCTGCTGTGCAGGGTTGGTAGAGGAACGAAAGGTCTCAGTGGGAAGTAAGAGTTCAGCAGTCGCAAAGCGCTATGGTGAGAGGGCCTCGTTCCGGGCCTGGTTCAGCCTCTGTTTCTCTTTGCTTCTTCGCAAGAGGCTGAATTACTCCAATCTCACACTGAATGATTCAAGGCCAAGTATCTGAAAGAGCTTCAGAAAATAAGGGATTTCAAATTGAGATTTTGAAAAGGATATGAAATTGGATGGGCCTTTCTGGCCATTTCCAAAAGCACAAGGTGGAGTATGGAAAGTAAACAAGTTGACCTTGTTGTATTTCACAGCCTTTACCTAAAAGATGTAGCTTCAGGCCCAGGAGGGGCTGGAAAGCTGGCAGGAAACAGCGCTGAAATATTAAGACTGGGGACGTGCAGTCAACCACAGTCCCTGCGCTGGAGGAAGGAGGGTGATGTTTGGCTGTGGGGGCTGGATGACCTCTGCCTGTTGAGCAGTCGGTATTTTTCACACTTGGCTTTGTGTCCCCTCTGTGGTTTGCTTTAGGAAACTTATAAAGTGAGAAAGAGTTTTAGATTCAAAACTTGTATTTCTGCATCTGTAAAAGCTGGTGTGCCCTAAACTTCTCTAAAACCCCAAGTATTAATGTTGACCTTTTACATTTATTTTGAAGGACGTTTGACACGTTAAGGAACCATCCGTCTTTTTATGTATTTAATCATCGTGGTAGAGTATTGTTCCAGTCCCCAGACACAGTGAATTCTTCTTCAAACCAAGATGCTTTGTCATCCAGCTCATCACTGAAATTTCGAAAACTTGAACCTCTGCGCCGCTAAGACTTTTACAGATTATAATAATAATCCTGGACACTGAGATGTAATATTCAAGTCGGGGATGTAAACACTTTTTTTAATTTCTGGAGCAGTATTTATATTGATCTTCCAGACTTTATAAAGTATATATATATATATATATAAACTAAGGACCTTCTTTGTACACTGTTAATGAAAATGACTGAATTGTGAATTGGCAATGCAGTGTAAATTATTCTACAGTTATGCTGTGAACCACATCTTCAAATTTTCATATATTAAAACCAAGTTGCAGCTGGCTTAACTTCAGTTAAAAAGCAAGCTAGTTTTCACCCCGCAATTAATGTCCTTTAACAAGAGGGAATGTCCCAGCGCTATTTATTTTCTCGGTTTGCTTGCACTACCAGTTGAGGAAACTCCTTCAGAAGTGCTGGGTCACGGCATCCCCTTCCCAGTGAGAAAGGGGCAGAGTCTCCTGCACCCAGAACGCCCCCAGGAGACCTGTGTGGTGTGGGCACAGCGAGTCAAAAAGGTTGCTTGCCTTTTTTATTTTTTAACAATGCTGAAAAATAGTTGCCTGAAGGGGTTGTTTTGGTTTTTTTTCCTAGTTTTTCATTATCACATTCTTTCCTTCTTGCCCTCCTTCATTGCAATGGTGCGAGGCTGCCTGGGATGCGGCTGCAGGTTTGGTGCCTGTGCTGGGGGAGGCAGCTGAGGTCCCGATCAGGCAGATACTCTAGCAGCTTTTGTTGCTTATTTGGTGTTTCCCGTCCCTCCAGTGGGGAATGGCTGTCCAATGGCTCAATGTTGTGTTGGCACCAGATACAAGCTCCCAAGAAGTATTTCAAGTATTGCTAAGAACTACCGTACAGCAGCGGGGGCCGTTTGATCAGCCCATTGCGGTACAACCACCCCCTCTTCTGCCAACACAGCCTTTCAGGTTGATTTCTTTTTTTCCAGCTGAGCCCTTTGTTGATTTAACATTACTGTCTTGATTTCACCTATTAGGACAGATGCTACAGTCCTTAACTCTTAGTGATATTAACATTCTCATCTCCCCGCCAGGGCTGAACCAGTAATAAAGTTTCTGCCGGTCTGGCATTTCACCCACCTGACACAGCAGAGGGAGGGTAGGTCCAGATGCTGATGGGGCCAACTAGAATTTTTGCCTAGTTTGTCTCACTGCCACTGTGGAAACTCAGCTTTTTGTCCTAGCATCTGTTTTGTTTTGTTTTTTTTAAACATGTTAAGAACTGTCCCAGGCAAAAAGCTTAGCAAAAATACTGTGTAAACCGAAGCCTCTCTTTTTTTTTTCCTAGCTCTGCCCGTCCTATGGAGCGGGTGCCCCAGTGCTAGAGCAATATCTGTAGCTGCTGCTCTACAATCACTCTTAAGCAGCTGAGTTTGGTTAGAAGGGGTTACTCTGCCAGCCAAAGGCGTCTTGAGCTGCCGGATTGCTCCCTAAAGCGGCCTGGTTCCCCCCTAGCTGGTGTCACAAACGGGCTCCTACCAGCTGCTGTCACCAGAGGCCTCAAAAATAGCAAGTATAAGTCAGCTCCCTGTTGTGGACCCAGCTCTTTCCATGGGGAGGAGGCTGCGGTGGGGCAGGCTCTGTGTAGATGACAGGGCTGGATGTTGGCCAGGTGACCTCGCGAGGTGCAGGGGAAGGAAAGACAATTAGTGGTGGGAGGGTGAAGCACGGCCAAGGGTCGGTAACCACCGTCCCAGAGAGTGGCAGAGTGTCTCTGAGGGTAGGGCCCCTGCTCTCAGAAGAAGCCCCCTTTTTTGCCACCACAAGGCTCCATGGAGCTGCCCGAGGCCAATGTGCTGCTGTGGGACAGGGCGAGCAGAGAATGTCACCCGCTCCTTGGAGCAGGTCCGGCCGGGAACACCCTCTCAGCTCCATCAGCCTCTTCTCGTGAGGAGCAGCCTCGTGCTTCAGCAGCCACGGTTATAATATCACAGAGCTGTACAAATTATTTTTTCTTATCGATCTCGCAATGTCCAATAAAAATTGATAATCCTTAAAGCGTTTGGGAGTTTTATTTGTTTATTTCTGACCATCCTGGTGCCCGCTGCAGCAAATCCCCGATGATTGAATATTTCAAAGTGCCTGCCTTGCACAGAGAAGTAGTGATTGCCTTAATTACAGTCCCTCCGTGTGAAAGCTCGTGCCCAGCCTGGTGTTCATTACTGGGAAATAAGATCAGTAGGGGGAATCAAAATATCATGCTGCAAGTAGCTAAACAAAACAGGAGGGAAATGTTACCTGCCTGCCTTTGGGATTCCTGGTCATCAGATGTGGCAGAGTTGAGGCAGTTGCTGTTTTCCATTTAAATCAGAGTAATGGCTTTTCTGCCACGCACTAATCTCCTGCCAGCCCATGGCCAGGCCCCTGCGAGCTCCAGGAATGCTCAGTCTGCTCCTGGGGCTGGAGATAGTTAATGGCTTGGGCTTGAGCAAGATCGCTTGTCGCTCCCTGGGCTGCTTTTCCGTTGGGGGAGGCTGAGAAGTGAACAAAGAACTGGAGGAGTTTGCTCAACTTCAGCATCCATCACGATTGCACCAGAGACTTGCCCTTGGCCGGCTCACCTCGCTGCTGCAGCGCTGCCTACGAGGGCCTGAAAACACAATAAATCAGTGTTTAAGGAAGGGTGAACCGTAAGCAGGTCCCAAAGCTGCCTTGTGCTTACCTCCCCGGGTGCAGTTCTTCGCAGAGGAGCTTCCCTTCTTCAAAAGCCAATCAAAAGTTGTGCCAAGAGCTTCTTGGATTAGACCAAAGAGGAAGAGCTTCCACCCTCGCCCAGCGCGCGTTCGCTGCCATCACACCTCAAACTGCTTTGGCTACAGGATGAGATATTTCTACTACATTAAATACTAAAAAGTAAAAAAAAAAGTGCTGATAATTTGCATTCGTTGCTGGCACAGCAGTTGAATCCGCATTGATTTTGTTGGGTTTTTCTTTCTACTCTTCACTGGCCAGTGAAAGTTCCATGGGGAAGGTTTGTTTACAGCGGAGGAGGGCAGGGGCTGTTGAGGCCGTCAGGAGGGGACGGGGACCACGGTTTGTCCCAGGGAGGGGTCACTGGCCGTACCAGGGCTGGGCTGGGAGCGCAGCTGGCAGAAATCTTTTCCCAGAGAGTTCAGCCTGGGCTGAAGCCTCACATCGCTTGTGGAAATAACTCCTGTTCACGCTGGATTAAAGCTTTCTGGGAAAAGCAGGTGGCTCACGGCCCCTTCCCGGTGCTCCGGAGCACTGGTGCAGCCCACACCCCAGAGAAAGCAGGGAATGGCAATTACTTTCTACTCTAAAATGATTTTTGGCTTCTTTATCACTCAGTCTGGGTTCCCTCGCCCTTCGCCATGCTCCTCTCTCTCCAACACCTTCAGCAAGGACAAAGAATGGAGATTTAGATTAGATACTGAGATCTGTAGAAGAAGTTCTTTGCTGTGAGGGTGGTGAGAGCCTGGCCCAGGTTGCCCAGAGAAGCTGTGGCTGCCCCATCTCTGGAGGGGTTCAAGGCCAGGTTGGAGGGGGCTTGGAGCAACCTGCTCTGGTGGGAGGTGTCCCTGCCCAGGGCAGGGGGTGGCACTGGATGGTCTTTAAGGTCCCTTCCAACCCAAACCATTCTGTGAGTCTAACAAAACGTCTATGATTCTATGACATTAGCTGTGGGGACAATCTAGCTGGATCCTGCCCCCTCACGAGTGGCACTGTTTCTGCTCCTTTTTGGGGGAAGTCACCCGCACCAAAAGGCAGCAATTTCCCACCAGGTGACTGGGGAAGGCCGAGGCTCACCCCACTTTCCCTTGGGAAACCCCCATCACCCACCCCCAGCCTTGGCAGGGCAGGGAGGCTGCAGCTCCCATCACTGTCCCAGCCAAAGTGCCTGTGCCAAGCTGGCCGCCTGCCTGCACGGAGGGGAAGGGTGAAGAAAGGGTATTTTGAATGTTAAACAAGCAGGGGAGAAAAAAAAAAAAAAAAAAGACTTTGGTACCAGCTTTCCACAGCCAGCACCAGCAGTGATGGGAAAACACTCCTTTGATTTGGCCTTGAGGTTCACCTTGAAGCCGTAATCACCCAGGGGGGAACTCTGGCGGAAATAAATCTGGCATTCCAGCAGGTACAAAGCCTTTTGATCAGCCCCACCTTGCTCTCGGTGACACAATGCCATTCCAAACCACTTCAGACTGCAACAAAAGCTCTGGCCTTAAAATGGCAGCTAATTAATTTTCTCCTCCTGCTAACTTAATCCTTTTTTCCAGCCGAGAAAAGGCAAGTGGGAGCTCAGGGAGCAGGGAGACAGCCAGGAGCCCGGCAGCACCCACAGGAACACAAGCCCTGGGGCTCTTTGGCAGGGACCCAGGCTGTGTCACAGCCTCCCAGCCCATTCCAAAGGAAAGGAGAAAAAACAAAACAAACCACCAACCAATATTAAAAAAGGCGATATTTGGATTATCAAACCAATGGTTCATTCCATGCTTGTGGTCTCGGGGGACCTGCAGCCCCCCCAGCAGGGCTGCTCCCCGTTGGCAGCCCTGGTGCTGCAGGAACACTTCTGTTTGGATTTAGGGAAGGGGAGGGGAGGGAAAGGGAAGGAAAGGAAAGGGGAAGGGGATTCCCCCTCCTCCCCCAAGGGTATTTCTGCTGTGTATTTTATCACAGAATCACAGAATGGTTTGGGTTGGAAGGGACCTTAAAGATCATCCCGTTCCAGCCCCCTGCCCTGGGCAGGGACACCTCCCACCAGACCAGGTTGCTCCAAGCCCCCTCCAACCTGGCCTTGAACCCCTCCAGGGATGGGGCAGCCACAGCTTCTCTGGGCAACCTGGGCCAGGCTCTCACCACCCTCACACCAAAGTTCTTCCCCAGATCTCAGCTCAGTCTCCCCTCTTTCAGTGTCAAACCCTTCCCCCTTGTCCTATCACTACATACCCTTGTAAAAAGTCCCTCCCCAGTCTTCTTGTAGGCTCCTTCAGATACTGGAAGGCCACTATAAGGTCTCCCTGCCCAGGGCCAGCCACCCAAGGCCAGCACTGACGTCCCCTGTCCCTGGGAGGTCTCTACTGCAGTGCAGGATGAAGAGCTCCCAGCGCACACAGCAAATGCTGAAGCCGTGATTTACTCCCCATCCTGGCTGCCAAAGTGCGCAAAACAAGGCACTTGCACCAAAACGCAGTTTTGGAGGAGCCAGTTCGGCAGGAGCTCCAAAGAGCAGCTCGTTTCTCCACATCCACACAAAGTTGTCGCACCCCGGGACATCCCCAGAGCCTCCGTGGCACTGGGAGGACAACCCCGCTGCAAGGCACCCCCTCCCCAGCACAGCGCAGAGCACACGGAGGGGAGAGAAGGGGCCCAATAAACCCCCATCTGCTGCTGGTCTGCAGCCGGCCACCACGGGCAGGGCCCTGCCCAGGGACCCAGGGGAGAGCGGTGCCAGTTCAACGCCAGAGCTGCCACCGCCACAGGGAAGCAGGAACAGCTGCCACTGCAGTGCCTGCTGAGACACAACTTCACAGCACAAAGGAAGAGCCACAGCAGAGCGAGACCCACCTTCGTCTCAGGTGGGAGGGACCCACAGATCCCATGGGGTGCAAAGGACTGGTTAATAAACCCAGGTCTGCTGCAGGTATGACTTTGGGCTGGCAGGAGAGGACAACCTCTGAAAGGGACAGGAGACATCTCCTGACCCAGCATGTGAGCAGTGGTCAGGGGAGGTCTGCAAGGCCCTCGCTTCTCACATGTAACTGCAGAGCTTGACAGGGCCAGAAACGGGGCTCACCCCGTTGTGGGGAGCAGAACACAGAGACACTCTTAGCCAGTGTGCAAGTTAGTACAGGAGCACTGGAAAGACAGAGGCGAGTCACACCAGGTGTGGTTCGAGGAGGAGCACAGCAGACGTCCATCACGGCACCAGGACACCCTGCTCGCGAGACACCGACGGCGGCTGCACGTGATGGCATTCCCAGAGACACCATCTCCACCTGAGGAGCTCCCCATCAGCATGTCTATGCCAGGGATGGGTGGGGCAAAGGCTTTCATCGCCATTTTCAACCTCTTCACAGAATGCTATGGGGTTGGAAGGGACCTCTGGAGATCATCCAGTCCAACCCCCTCCCAGAGCAGGTCCACCCAGAGCAGGTTGCACAGGAACGTGTCCAGGTGGATTTTGAACATCTCCAGAGACAGAGACTCCACCACCTCCCTGGGCAGCCTCTGCCAGGGCTCTGCCACCCTCACAGCAAAGACGTTCCTCCTCATGTTTAGATGGAACTTGTTCTATTCAAGTTTGTGCCTGTTCCCTCTTGTCCTGTCCCTGAGAACCACTGAAAAAGGACTGGCCTCATCCTCCTGAAGCCCCATATCCTTTAAGTATTTATAGGTGTTGATCAGATCCCCCCTCAGCCTTCTCCAGACTAAACAAACCCAAGTCCCTCCGCCCCTCCTCATCAGAGAGATGCTCCAGGCCCCTCATCATCTTTGTAGCCTCTGCTGTCCCCTCTCCAGCAGTTCCCCGTCCTTCTGGAACTGGGGAGCCCAGAACTGGTCCCAGTGCTCCAGATGGGGCCTCCCCAGGGCAGAGCAGAGGGGCAGGAAACCTCTTGCTGGTTCCCTACCATGACGAGCAGTCCCTCTCATTTCCCTGGTTTCACAGCCCCTTCTCACTCCAGCACAGCAGGCACACCGAGCCCAGGGCTGGCAGAGGGAGCAGCCGTGAGAGCAGGGATGCCCGAGCAATTTAAACACGCTTCTACACAGCTGAGAGAGAGAAGGCGCTGGAGCAGCTCAGGTCAGAAGGCAGATCCTGTCTTTAAAGAAGAGGCAGTAACGCCACAAGCACCTACAGACTCGGGCAACTTCTCTACAGCCTTCCCACCTCCCTCTTTCCAAGTTCCTGCTTTTCTCCAGCTCCAGTGAAAGGCCATCTCCTTTCACCCATGGGGAGCCGTCCCCACCCAACACTCCCCCTGGGCAGGAGCACACCGAGACACACAGGAGCCCAGCTGCAAGTTTGCCGTCTTCAATGT